GCCCAAGATCTGATTTACAATGATTATTTTCTGCGATTTCATTGCCCGTTTTCGAGCTTAAAATCTGGTTTATATAGACAATTTTTTGGAATCATCACATATTTTTTTGCACAAATCTGATTTACATTGATAATTTTCTACATTTTTGTTGCATATTTTTAAGCTCAAAATGTGATTTATATTGACCCATTTCTTCATTTGTTTTTTAGGTTTTCGGACAAGATCTGATTTACAATTACTATTTTCTATATTTTTGTTGCACATTTTTGAGCTCAAAATGTGATTTATGTTGATCCATTTCTTCATTGGTTTTATAGGTTTCTGCCCAAGATCTGATTTACAATGATGAGTTTCTATGATTTCATTGCATATTTCTGAGCTCAAAATGTGGTTTATTTTGACAATTTTCCTGAATCTTTACATATGTTTTTGCAGTTTTTCGAGCTCAAAATATGATTTATATTAACCCATTTCTTCTTTTGTTTTATAGGTTTTTGCCCAAGATCTGATTTGCAATGATGATTTTCTACATTTTTGTTGCATATTTGTGAGCTTAAAATGTGATTTATATTGACCCATTTAATCATTTGTTTTGTAAATTTTTTGCCCAACATCTGATTTACAATAATGATTTACTATGATTTCATTGCATATTTTCGAGCTCAAATTTGGTTAATATTGACAATTTTCTGGAATCTTTACAATTGTGTTTGCACAAAATTTGATTTACAATGATGATTTTCTACATTTTTGTTGCATATTTTCGAGCTCAAAATGTGATTTGTATTGACCCATTTAATCATTTGTTTTGTAAATTTTTGCCCAAGATCTGATTTACAATAATGATTTACTATGATTTCATTGCATATTTTCGAGCTCAAATCTGGTTTATATGTACAATATTCTTGAATTTTTACATATGTTTTTGCACAAAATCTGATTTACAATGATGATATTTTGTATCTTTGTTGCATATTTTTTGTGCCGAAAATCTTGTTCATTTTGATGATTTTCGTGATTTGTGTCGTTTGGTTTGAATTCAACTTTTGCTTTGAGTTTTCATATAGCACGCTTTTCAGAAGAGAAAAATTAATTTTTCTGACAATATAATTAAATTTTTTGACAACATAATCGATTTTATTGCAATTTTATGGCGATAGCAATAGTTTTTGTTGCAATTTTATGGCAGTTTTATGGCGGAAACAATATATTTTATTGCAATTTTATGGCAAAAACAATAGATTTTATTGTAATTTTATGGCAAAAACAATCGATTTTATTGCGATTTCATGGCGGTTTCAGGGCAAAAAAATAGATTTTATTGAGATTATATGGAGATAAAAATACATTTTAGTGGAATTACAAGGCAATATATTCTTGATGAAAATAATCTATTTTCTATCTATTATAATAGAAAATGTTGCTTAAATTGGTTACACATAATCGATTATAATGGCAATATTTTCGGCAACATTTTCTCAATATAATCTATTTTTATCCGAGAAACTTCGGTGCGGGAATGGTTTAAGGGTGAAAATTTTTCCAATCACAACAAATGTTCGGCACTTTAAAGCTTGAAGAGATGGGATTACATATCAAATTTGTTGATACAAACCAAAGCTCAAGGTCATAATACAAAAAGAAATTAGGATAAAAAAGATTTTAATGATCAAGTTTGTTTGATTAATCAACTCAACTTTTTTGATCTTGAAAGAAAAAATGTTATTAAAAAAAACACTAACAACAAACCGCTGAAGTTAAATGAAAAAACCCACACTCATACACAAATATACCTAATGAAATGAGACAAATAATTGAAAAAATTGACGGTTACTTTTTAAAACTCCTTTTACCAATAATTATTTGGGTTTGAGCGTTGACAAATGCTTTCTTGTGCTATCATATCCAAATATAAAATCCAAACATTTTTGACAGAGGTGTGAAGTTGCATTTTGTAAAAAACCCATGCCACAGACAGGCAAAAACTGCTTCATTTTGCACTATATTTAAAGTTTAGAGTATTTTGAGCTCAATTAAAACTGTACTAAGAAACGCTACAAAAGATTTTCCAATGAGATTGTGTTGAGCACTATTCATTCACAATTTGAGCTTGAAAACGTAACACTTGGTTGTATCCCAAGCCGCATTGTTGAATTTGAGAATTTAAGTAGAGTAGCCGATTGCTGCGCAGTTAGCACAGAATGTTCCTATCACAATGACTTAGGGAAATTGTTTCCTATAACAATAGGCCGTTTTGGTTTGAAGACGGCGTGATGAGAGAACCTACAAGTCTCCATTTTTTTTCGGACAAACTTTTGATTTTTTTAAAAAAGATTTTCAAATACTAATTTTGTTTGAAGAACTGACCTTACAAGTGCCAGTGAGGCGACACATGAACATCCAAAAAAGAAAAATTTGTAGTAAATCAATTTTTTTTTGCTTAAAAAATCAATAATCATAACAAAAAAGTTTATACTCCCTTTACTCGCTCCAAATTAGAGTAAAAACGAAAAAAAAACAACTTAGGGGTCGACTTCTTGATTTTGATATACTGATGCGGGTCAAAACGCGTTAATTCAAAAACAGGAAGTTGCCCAAAACTTAGTTGCTTCTCTACTAAAATAAGTGAGAGTGAAACATTCTCGCAACCGGTTCTTCTGAATGAGTTTTTCATCGCAGATCTGATAGGATAGTTTTAAAGAAAAATCAAGCTTCTAAAAAACGGTCAAAAGTTCAAAAATTTGTATTGATTCCCAAAACCATTTTTTTAATGCCATTTCTTTTTCCATAAAAATAGAGCGCAGGCAATTACAAGGATAGACAGACTTTCAACAACCTGTTGTTTCGATTAAATTAAAAATATCAGTTTTGGCACAATAGTTATTGAGAAAAATTTAAAAAATGTCAACAAATCAGAAAGTTGACGTTTTCAGATTTTAGGGCAGTTCTTCAGAACATCAAAAAGTTGCATATAACCGTCAAAATTCAAAACTTTGATTAATCCGAGGGACCAAATTTTTTGTGTAGAAAAAATTAGGCGTATGAAAAAAAGCTAACCCTCTCTTTGGATTGAACCCAAAATCTCAGATACGGAAGGATAGATTACGAGAAAAATCAAAAAATTTAAGAAACCCGTCAACAAATTTAATTTTACGAAAATGATAACTTTTTGTGTGAAAAAACTGAGTACCCGCTAATGCACGGGAGCTTGACCTTACCCGTTATCTCTATTGAACACTCAATACCAGATTTGTCAGGTTAGGTTTCGAGAGAAGTCAAAAACATTTTTAAAAACATGTCAAAAGATCCTAATTTTGATTCCGAGGGCCATGAATTTTTTTGCGTGGTAGCTTATGCAGGCGACCTTTCTAACTGTTGTTCGATTCACTGAAAATAAAATTTTAGATTTGGTATGATAAATTTTGAGACAACGAAAAAAAATAATCAAGAAGGGTTAAATATTCATCCCACAGAGCTATTCGAAGGCTGTAGACAGAGGTGTAAAATAAAAGAGACTAGAAGAATATACAGACACATGGTGGAATATTGGTCTTTACATTGACACTCCGTTTTTGAAATTCGGTGGAATGGTTTTTTAAATTAAAATTTTCCTTTTAAAACTAAAAAAACTCTCAAAGTGTCTTAAATGTAAATATACAAACCAATCTCAAATCTTTGATAATACCAGTTTTCCTTATAATAACTATTTTTTTGTTGTAGTTCTAAGCAAACATTCCAACACGACATTTCAGCATTAAAATAGCAATGAACAAAACTTACGAAGGGGAAACAACGCCGACAATCTTTGAGCAGACACCAGGCAAGCCGAAAAAATTGATTTTATCAAACATTTTTGAAAAAATTCAAGTCCCCTGAAACTACAAGGAACATGATACTAGCTTGCTACACAAAAAAAATCCGTCTTGAGGCAACGAAAGACCCTCAAATCAGTTTTTACCAGTATAAAATTTCTATGGAATACATACTGAAAAAAAAACAGCGGTTTGAACCACGGAACTTGGATGCAAAGGCCACAGCTTTACCTTTAGGCCAAGTTCCAAAGAACATGGAAGTTGTAAAAATTCACTAAAAAAGCTAGCTGAAAAGTTGTAGGAAAAATTGTTCAGGGAAAAAATCTGTCATTAATTTTTCAACTAAACTGTCAATTAATTTGTCACTTAAATTAAATAATTGCTCGAGAACTCCATATATTTCAATCAGGGAAAATTTTTGAGTCGATTTGATAAAGCGAAGATTTCGAATTAATTTTGAATGCAGCGAAAGCAAAAAGAAACGCATGTTTTTTTCAAGCTATCGGTGAGATTACCTCGGATGAAATTTTACGCTGAAATTTGTTTAAAATAATAATTTTATCGTAGATTTTACAAATTTCCTCAGGTGATTGATTTTTAAAAGATATTTTCTTTTGCAGGAATTTAACCAAACAGCATCTGATCAAGCTTATAAACTGTTCTTCCATTACCGCAAAACAAAGAATCAACAATATCAGTCGTATATAGTTTAAGAAATCTTTTTAGGAGTTGCATTGGGGAAGAACCTGCATTTGGATAATCTGGATCTTGTTAACTATTCCTCCTCCTCCCCCCCCCCTATTTCGATTTTCAGAAATTCAACTTTGGCTGTCACATTTTTAAAAGCTTAAGACAATTTTCAGAAAATAAATTTAATTAAAATTTTTCATATCGGGACTATTTAAATAGTAGCTAATAGAAATACTAACGCGCGAAAATAAAACCCGATTATTTTTTGACATTTTTGAAATGCATATTTTATACAGAAAGGTATGTCAAAAATAAAACATGCATAGGGGGAAATAGTTAATAAGGTCCAAAAGGGGGGGGGGGGGGAATAGTTAACAAGATCCGATAATCTGAACTGATGTTTGACTAGTTTGGTTTGCTGTCAGAACTAGCCCCACCCTCATATCCTAGTTGAACCCCAGCTAATTTCTCTCAATTACTCTTCATTACAAAACTACGAAAATAAAACTACTATTTTTGTATACAAAGCTAACTAACTTAAAATATTTTAAAGATATATTCTTCAAGTAAGCGCAAGCTTAACCACTCACAAACAGCGCCACAATAACAAGAACTAAAACGTTCAACTTTAACTCAGAGCCCGAGTTAACTATTATGTAGTTTATTTCCATTGATACTCTGCTGATAACAGCATCATTTTCCGTAGCTGCTTCGTAATAATCGTAATATTCATCTGTATGTACACGGTAAGAGGGACCAGCATTCGAACCGTCGGGTGAGTTTCGTGCACGCTTCTGCTCATACTCGATTGCCTCTAAGTAGTTATTGATTCCCATTTTCCTATAAAAATCCTGCTTCCAAGGCGGGAAAATATCGAAATAAGAAATAATTGAAGTGTCAAGTAGAACACTCGACCAGCGACCCCGGGTCTCACTGGGTTGTGCCGAAAACTCTTCCGTGTACACGATACGCGCAGCCAGTCGATATTTATTGGGGTAATGAAGCACACAGGGTCTGGGCAACTTTGAGTCTAATAAGTTGACTAACTTGGGTAGTAACATTACCCCTGTTTTAGGGTCCCTCTCTCCATTTAGATAGATTCCACAGGGCTGTACTGCTAAATTGATTATTCCTATTTTTTCATGTATTTTGTACACCAGTATTTCTATAACAGGTGAAAATCGCTTTTTTGTTAGTTCGTTAGTGACAATATTGAAATGATCATCATCAAATTCCCATCTAGCAACGGCGTTAATTGTCAAAGTTCTCGTTTTTTCGTCAACATTTTTGTTGGTGAAGAAAAAGGATAGATTTGCTAATTGTCCTGGATTGAACGGCGAAAGCGGAGACTTCAATGCTTTTCCACAGATTGTTAAGTTTTCGATATTTGAGACCTTAGCATGCTCTTCGCAACTGGGCGTGATAAACATTTTTGTATAGACGTCTTTTTGAATGGATTTTTCTTTGCCTCTGACTTGAAAAGCATATTCACATTCGTAACTAACACGTAGATCTTCTCTATGCGCATTCCTCAAGTCTTTGCGTCCCCGATCATGATCCTCGATAAAGTTTCTTGCAGGGTCAAAACAGAAACCTCTTACCCACTCCATCGTGTAGTTCAGAGATCGTTTGCTGACCGGAGGAATCCAAATGATGCCCAAGATCACGTGGTCTGTGAAGAATATTCGATCCTCTATTTCTATTTTCATAGAACCTTCAGCATCTGTGGTCTGCATCATGCTTCCTTGATCGAAAACTCGCAGGTTATCGGAGCTCTGCGACACTATCAGTTCGCGACTGATTCGGCTGCTGTTCAACTTCATCGGACCCCAGTCGTCGCAAACTGACGTCACAGTGACATAAAAGCGGATTTGAGAACATGCGAAAAATACATCGTCAGAAATACTTAGACGACATATGCCGTACTGACACGAACTTGAGTCTATTGTCCTTTTCGATTCCAGAGCAATGGTTGAAGGACGACACATAAATGAAACTTGGTATGCTATTACCGGGAGATCCGATTGTTCGCCTTCGACTACGGTAACATTATTGACCCGAAGCTTGTTGCTCTCAATTTGAGTCACGTGGGCATAAACTCGATCAGGCGCTTCCGGAGGCTTCGGATCCCCGCTCAGACGTTTGACAACACTTGACTTTTCGAAACCCTTGGATCCAAATCTGTTAACAGATGCAACTTGAAACTCTGACCACCACCCTGGTTTTGTAGGAACATTCATAAATCGCTGATCAGTTACACCAATAATACTCCACTTTTTTCTAGGCAACACCCCTTCTTTGGGATAGAACCCCGTCGTATTTCGCTGTCTCACAATAAAAATAATTTTCCCAGTTTTTCCAACAGCACTCCATGAGTCCCAGGACAGATCAAAAGAGGAAGTTTCTACATTTTCGTTAACTCTGAGCGATGAGCTGACCAAGGGCGGGTATTCAAACTGGCGGTTCAAGGCTTCCATACAGGAAAAACATACACTTTTAGATGCTGAGTGAACATGTCCACAACACTTGTGACTAACTGGGCACGTTGAATCTACGGTACATTCGTTAACACAGTTTGGAGTAACGTGTGGGTCAACCGTGAAAACAGAAGCCGGGCAAGATCCTGGATGAACTGTATACATGGAGTCCGTGAACTTACACAAGTGCTAAAACTCACACAGTCGCCTATCAGTTCCCACTTACATACATTTGATATAGTAGTTATTTCTCACGGGTCAAAACAAATTGAACAAAATCAAATAAAACAAAATTGACCAATTTCTGAGTTGCTACTAGATCTTATTAAGCCAAAAGCATAATTGATACAAAAAATTGTAGAGGTTGATTAAAGCTTATATTGCGAAAAACGTTCAAATGATTTGAATTAGCGTGTCATGCACCTCTAGTGCTTCTAACTGATTGATGATCGTGATTTTGCTTTCAAGAAGTTTTTTTTAAAAAAAAAAGAAGAAATTAATGCAACCGTAGAAATAGACTGGGGCCTCTAACAACGCTTTCTATTTCATTAATAAAAATAATAATAATAACAAAGGATTTAGGACTAATCCAAGGGTTCGCATAAAACCAGTGATTGGGAGGTTCAACGTTCGTGTTTTAGTTGTTAAAGTTAAGTTTCTTCAATTCTACAGTTGTTGCAGCCACATAATATCCGCCAAGTGCATGAATCTGACTCGTTGTAGCGGGTTTTGAAGAACTTCGTATAAACTTCCAGCAGTTTAATTTTGCATCCTGGATCAAAGATTATGTCAAATTTGAAGTAATCGTTAAAAAGGTTGGCCAGACGGCAAGCTCGAAACCAGTAATCTGATTCACACTTCTTCAGACGTATTTGTTGGCAGGCAAAATTTCGTGTTGCTTGTGTTCTTCGAGTACCGATGTCTGTGATGGTTACTTGACTACGCCAGTCTATGTCAACTTTTCCGGTTAGTATTTTGGCAAACAAGAGAATAACACGAAGTTCTTGATATAAGGAGATTGGAAGGATATCGAGTTTCACGAGCTTATCCTTATAGGATATGTTGTTTGTGATGAAGATCCATGATACTGCTTTTCGCTGGATACTTTCAAGAGTACCTAAGTCGCCTTTTGATAGTTTCCAAAGGGCTGATCCGTAGTTTAAAATGGGCACAACATAACAGATATATGCGTTCTTTCTGGTCCAAAACGTCGCTTTTGAAAGATTCCGTTTTAATATGAAGAGAGCGTTCAAGGCTTTTTCGGTCCTTTTCTTTGCATGCAGAGTCCACGAGAGTGTGTCATTTACGAGAATTCCCAGATCTTTCATACATTCAGTTGTTTCAAATTCATGGTTTGGCAGTGCAATAGGAGCTGTACCTTTAATGCAGAGCACTTTACTTTTTCCTAAGTTCATTGACATGAAATTTTCGTCACATCAACGCCACAGTTTTCTAAGGTCTATATTCAGTGTTAAAGGGTTGTCGCCTACAATTTTGTAGTCATCAGCATAATCGAACAATTTGGACATGACACATGATGGAAGATCGTTTATGAAAACCAAGAAGAAGAGCGGTCCGAGGATGGAGCCTTGTGGTACGCCACTGAATACTTCTAATTCATCTGAAACAGTGTCATTTAGTCTCACAGTTTGCTTCCGTTTAAAGAAGTAGCTTCTTAACAGATTCAAACAGTTTCCACCAATCCCCAGAGCAGCCAACTTTTGTATGAGAAGCTCATTCGTGACTTTGTCAAACGCTTTCTCGAAGTCTATATAGAAGATATTCAGATAGGAGCATTTTTCAGACTCTAAGCAGCTATAGATTTCATGCAGATATTCTATAACGTTCATTATAGTTGACCGTTTGGGTCTGAAACCATGTTGGGCTGATGCCAGAGTTGGGTAAACAATTGGAGTCAGCTTCTCGAAAATCAGTTTCTCTAGCAGTTTTGAGACTGTTGAAAGCAGGCTGATAGGCCTGTAATTACTCACATCTTGTTTATCTCCGTCTTTGAGTATTGGTGCAATTTCACTGACTTTCCATTTTTCCGGTAATCGGGCTTTATTTGCGATGAGGTTAAACAGTAAGTGCAGTGATTTCGGCAGTGACTTGGAGAGACTCTTCAGAAGTAAGTTCCCGATCTTATCCGGTCCTTTGGCTTTATTTACGTCCAGTAGTTGCAGAGCGTTCTATTTCATCGGTCGTAAAGTTAATCTGATTTAGTAGGGTGCTATTTTGTTCGCCTATTTTCGTATAGTAGGTGTTTTGAGTGAACACTGATTGAAAGTATTCGTTGAATAGTATTACTTTTTCAATATCTGTAATGGCAGTTCTTTGATCCAAAGAAATTTCGGTAGGGATAGTGTTCGACTTGGTGATCGACTTCAAGTATCTCTGTATGCCGCTGAATTTGCCTTCCTTGAAGAGCGTCTTCTCATGTAGATGCTGGTCATTTTGAAGCGACAGGGTGAGCTCAGTTTGTAGATATTCGATTTTGATTTTGTTTGACGGCGTGGGCTGCCGTTGTTGTTTCAATTGAAGTGTTTTTAACTTCTTGATGAAGTTTGAAGAGTTGCCACTTACCCATGGAGCCAGTTCGGACCTATGTTTCGTAGTTATTGGAAGAAGATCCTTTAATACTTCATGTAGCCACTTATACCAAAGTTCAACCATCAAGTCCACGTTACTCATGCAGTATGGTCGGAAGGGATGTTGGAGAATGAACTCATTAATTTCTTTCCAGTTAGCTTTTTTGAATGCAAATATATCGAAGTCTAGCTTTTGTTTGGGAGACGGTGAAGAGATATGTACAGGTCGGATGTCAAACGAGACTTTAGCTTGATAAGGTTTGTGATCAGAATTGAAGAGACTTCTCAGATGGTTATCAATGACTATGCTTGTCACATACTGGGGTTTATTGCATAAGAGAACATCCAGTGACCTTCCGTCCTGGGTTTTTATGAGTTGCTGAAAATTTGATTCACATAGTTCATTGAGGATTGTTTGCTCGAAGAGAGATGTTGACGTCATTGAGGGCCAGTGTGTAGATGAAAGATTGATGTCTCCAGCTATATATGAGCAAACAGCACTGTATTCGAACTGTTTTCGCCTAATGAATTTTAGGAGCTCCGGATATTAGGAATGTTTTATTTAAGCTTATACGAATTATCACAGAGTCTTGTAAAATTGAGTCAATTTGAGAGCTTGGAATGTTTTTGCTTACTGCTATCAGTACACCGCCATGCTTTGTCAACCCTTTATCAGATAGTCTGTCTTTTCGATGTATCGCATAGTTGGTTAGAAACAGACCTATATCGCTAATGCTCTCTGTGAGCCACGTTTCTGTTAGGCAGATAATTTGATAAATATTTTTCACTTGAACGGCATTGGAGAAATTTGTTCGGCGTTGGTATTCAAGTATACTTCTCTCATTGTAAATTAGTATATTTATGAAAGCTGCTAGTCATTCGTCCGCCACGGGAAGCTTCTCTTTTGTCCACTTTGCGCCCTGTCGAATGAACAGGGTTGCGTCACAAACACGCAGATTTTTCGGATCGGTGCCTTTATTTATCAGTTCTCGTCGTCTCACAAGAGTTAAGTTTTCAAGTTCAGCTTCTTCTTTTGTCAGTTGTTTGCTGAGAAAGATTGGTTGACTGAAAGTTTTCAGCTTTCTCGCCGATAGCAGTACCATTCGACGCTGATATGCATTTGGAACTTTTAATAGGATAGTTCTCGTTTTGTTCTCGTCATATCGGCCAAGTCTTATGACGTCGCCTATAATAGCATTGACTTCCATATGGGTTAGTAGTTTTTGAACTTCTGCAAGGTCGTGTTCTTGGAGTACTCTTGCTTCTTTTTCCGTTGATTCTGGGATACCAAGTATACGAATTCCATTGAGTTCATCGGGAGGTTTCGGCATTTGTTCTTGTGATTTGGTAATCGGACTATTTTGAGCTGGTTGCCCGGAATCGGGCGGTTTCCTTGTGAGAAGCATTTTGATTTCGGACACAGTTTTCTTGAGGTCAGTCATTTCGGTTTCAAGGTTTTTCATCTGACTTTCTTGGTGTTCATTTGAGACCGTGTTCACATGGGCAGATTGTGCTAGCTTTTCGTGGCGCTTTTCTTCGATACACTTGTTACAAAGAAGTAAGGCAATTTTTCCGATAGCCAGTACTCCATTGACAGCCGCTTCACTCAGGCCAGTACAATTTTTAGTCAGATGCATTCGACAGCCACAGACGAAGCAGTCGAATGAACTTTCATTTTTCAGGATTTTCTCATCACAGGTGAAGCATGAATCAGAGATTGATTTGACTTGATTTCGAGTGTTATGTTTCGACATCTTTGAGGGGCTCAGAGCCAGAGACTCAATAAGCGCATCTATGTAAAGAGTAAATCTAAAAACAACTTCAGTACTTATAGGGAGGGGCTCAGAGCCAGAGACTCGATAAGCACACCTACCTGTTTAGTATTTTAGTCTTTTCGCCTCGCGTCTCTCTCCAGCTGATCTTCACTTCGTACCACGTGTTTTGAAGATCCGTTTGATGTTGGGGTAATAGTGCAGTACAGTGGCCAAAGTACGTAACTCAATGTCAGAATGCTGATGAAGTCTGCGATACTCAGCAAGCACCGATTCGTCTATTTGTTCAGACGCGCTGATAACGTGCTTTGTCACGTCAATGACGTAACAGTCCAAGGCCTTCACAAGGTCGTCAAAGATGTACGGAGCTCCTACTCGTTGACATGTGCCAAGGCAGAAGAGATTGGGAATTGTTTTCAGAGTCGCGATGAGTTGATCAACCGTTTGGGGAATGTTATTCTTTTTTGGATGTGATGTTATTGTGTTGTTGAGTAGGTCATGCCACAGTATAAGGTTACGTTTCCTCAGGTGGGTTGACGTTAAATAATCGTAACAATAGTTTGCTGTATTCGGGTCAAGATTTAGGCCGGGTAAAGAATGAACAGAATCGGCAAGCTTATGTTGTTCAGATTCGTCATGTTTTGCAATGGAACGGCTAAGAGAGCTTGCTGCTACTATTTTGATCATGAAGTAGAGATAGAAAAATGTATATAAAGACAAATAAATTGAAATGAACTCAGCTGATTGTAGTTGGGATGAGAAATACAGCTAGTCCTCCAGACTGTAGGTCCACCCTGTTTGATCCTGAGTGTATCCAGAGGGTATCGCTGTGAATAAACTTTCCAATAATCTCACTTTTGGGGGCCACCACGGCTGCCCCATGCATTCATTTCAATAACTGAAACTATTTAATAAGTTGAAAACGATGAAAATAAATTAAACTTCAAGGTTCTTTTTTAGCTAAAATGGTGAAATATCCAAAACTACCGAGTTTCAGATCTTCGTACTGGTAACTCAAACACAAATCCCTAAAATGGCAGGCAGCTGCCAAGTGCAATTTCCATATTAAAGTACTTCTAAACGATTTCATTTGCAAAATCAATAATTTCCTAATTGAGATTCTTGTTTAGCTTCAATTTTTTTCATTCGCCAGTACGTTAATCACTTGCTCCATCAATCGTTTAACCGACCGTTTTAAAAACATTATTTAAGAGTATTTAAACAACTTTTTTTCTTAGTTGAATTCTTAAGTTCATCCAAAGTGTTCAAAATCATAATAATCTTTTTTATCTCAAAAATTAAAAACTTTCAATCAGTCGTAATTCGGGGCCAGATGAGCATCGCCTGGGAGTACCATCACAGCCCCACAATATAGTTAGGTTACTGGAATGATTTGCGCAGTCATATTTGACGGAAATATTATCGGATGTCCCTCACTAACAGCAGCAACAAAAATATTATATGTAATCATTTGAGTCGAATCAAGCTTTTGAGCAAAATGACGGCAAAACATACTAAGTGAATGATAGTAAAATTAAATTGCGCTAGTAATTTAAAACACTACAAGCAAATACGTTGGTAATTGCGTACAAAAAAATCAATTCTACGATGAACTTTGAAGTTTGAGCTTACAAAAATTGAAATGGCTCCGGAAAATGAAATCCTAAAAAATTGGATGGAGCCAATTTTTGACAGCGAAATTGCAAACTTGATTTTACGACTCAAACCAACGGACGTAAAAAGATTCAACGCGTTCCAAGATAGACTTGGCTCTCAATGGTTGAACGTCATCCCGTGCAAAAATTTCAGGTTAAAACCGTCGAACCAACAACTCAGAATTGCAATAGGACTTCGATTAGGCTCAAAAATATGCGAACGGCATAAATGCGTGCGGAAAAGACGTTACCGAGGATGATTGGCATGGTCTTTCTTGCCTCAAAAGTGCAGGGAGATTCTCAGGCATTCAAACCTGAATGCCCTTATAAAGCAGAGTTTATCTTCTACTAACACTCAGTCTGTTTTAGAACCACGACACCTCTACAGGACCGATCAGAAGCGACCAGACGGTTTGACGCTCGTTCCATGGGCTGTTGGTAAGCAGCTCTTGTGGGATGTAACGGTAGTAGACTCCTTAGCTCCTTAAAGAATTAATGCCGGGTCTGTTTGTAACCCTGGTACGGCTGCCGCTGAAGCGGAAGAGCGAAAAATTGACAAGTATAAAGATCTTGTAAATGATGGATATCTTTTTCAACCGCTAGCTTTTGAAATTCAGGGCAGGGCCGGCCCCAGCACAGAAATTTTTTTGAGCAAGCTTTGTAAGAACCTAAGCATATGCACTGAGGAACACAGAGCAGGCAGCCTTTTAAAACAGAGAATCTCTCCGGCAATACAGATTGCGAACGCCGCTTGCGTACTGGGAACAATAAATGACAAAATAATTTTTGACGAAATTTTTTATTTGTAACACTTGTATATTATATTTTCTCGTGTCGAGTTGCGTGTTCTTATTGAAGAAACGTAACCCGTATCGATTTTAATTAAAAAGGTTTTAAACACTTGTCATCTTCTTTTATCATTATCACTTCCATATCTAGAAATTCCAAGGATTTTGACTGGAATACGTGATGAAGGGACTCCTGACTGTAACCTCGGTTACCATGATACTTTTGACCTTCTGATTACCTTTAAAAAAAAGAAAAAAAAATTCTACGATGTGGCAACCAAGCCGACAAAAAATCAGCAGACAAACAATAGAACATAGAAGTTTGAAATCATTATGAACTATCATTTTTCAGGATTTTCTCATCACAGGTGAAGCATGAATCAGAGATTGATTTGACTCGATTTCGAGTGTTATGTTTCGACATCTTTGAGGGGCTCAGAGCCAGAGACTCAATAAGCGCATCTATGTAAAGAGTAAATCTAAAAACAACTTCAGAACTTATAGGGAGGGGCTCAGAGCCAGAGACTCGATAAGCACACCTACCTGTTTAGTATTTTAGTCTTTTCGCCTCGCGTCTCTCTCCAGCTGATCTTCACTTCGTACCACGTGTTTTGAAGATCCGTTTGATGTTGGGGTAATAGTGCAGTACAGTGGCCAAAGTACGTAACTCAATGTCAGAATGCTGATGAAGTCTGCGATACTCAGCAAGCACCGATTCGTCGATTTGTTCAGACGCGCTGATAACGTGCTTTGTCACGTCAATGACGTAACAGTCCAAGGCCTTCACAAGGTCGTCAAAGATGTACGGAGCTCCTACTCGTTGACATGTGCCAAGGCAGAAGAGATTGGGAATTGTTTTCAGAGTCGCGATGAGTTGATCAACCGTTTGGGGAATGTTATTCTTTTTTGGATGTGATGTTATTGTGTTGTTGAGTAGGTCATGCCACAGTATAAGGTTACGTTTCCTCAGGTGGGTTGACGTTAAATAATCGTAACAATAGTTTGCTGTATTCGGGTCAAGATTTAGGCCGGGTAAAGAATGAACAGAATCGGCAAGCTTATGTTGTTCAGATTCGTCATGTTTTGCAATGGAACGGCTAAGAGAGCTTGCTGCTACTATTTTGATCATGAAGTAGAGATAGAAAAATGTATATAAAGACAAATAAATTGAAATGAACTCAGCTGATTGTAGTTGGGATGAGAAATACAGCTAGTCCTCCAGACTGTAGGTCCACCCTGTTTGATCCTGAGTGTATCCAGAGGGTATCGCTGTGAATAAACTTTCCAATAATCTCACTTTTGGGGGCCACCACGGCTGCCCCATGCATTCATTTCAATAACTGAAACTATTTAATAAGTTGAAAACGATGAAAATAAATTAAACTTCAAGGTTCTTTTTTAGCTAAAATGGTGAAATATCCAAAACTACCGAGTTTCAGATCTTCGTACTGGTAACTCAAACACAAATCCCTAAAATGGCAGGCAGCTGCCAAGTGCAATTTCTATATTAAATTACTTCTAAACGATTTCATTTGCAAAATCAATAATTTCCTAATTGAGATTCTTGTTTAGCTTCAATTTTTTTCATACGCCAGTACGTTTATCACTTGCTGCCATCAATAATAATAATAGTAATAATAATAATCATAATAATCATAATCATAATAATCATAATAATCATAATAAAACAGAATTAAGGGTAGCACCCAGGGCAGATATTACCGAGTTCCAGTTTTCCAAAGTTCATTTGAGTTTGTGTTGATTTCTGCAGTTCTGACAATTACATTTAACCGACTGTTAAATGGCAGGCAGCTGCCAAGTGCAATTTCCATATTAAAGTACTTCTAAACGATTTCATTTGCAAAATCAATAATTTCCTAATTGAGATTCTTGTTTAGCTTCAATTTTTTTCATTCGCCAGTACGTTTATCACTTGCTGCCATCAATCGTTTAACCGACCGTTTTAAAAACATTATTTAAGAGTATTTAAACAACTTTTTTTCTTAGTTGAATTCTTAAGTTCATCCAAAGTGTTCAAAATCATAATAATCTTTTTTATCTCAAAAATTAAAAACTTTCAATCAGTCGTAATTCGGGGCCAGATGAGCATCGCCTGGGAGTACCATCACAGCCCCACAATATAGTTAGGTTATTGGAATGATTTGCGCAGTCATATTTGACGGAAATATTATTGGATGTCCCTCACTAACAGCAGCAACAAAAATATTATATGTAATCATTTGAGTCGAATCAAGCTTTTGAGCAAAATGACGGCAAAACATACTAAGTGAATGATAGTAAAATTAAATTGCGCTAGTAATTTAAAACACTACAAGCAAATACGTTGGTAATTGCGTACAAAAAAATCAATTCTACCATGAACTTTGAAGTTTGAGCTTACAAAAATTGAAATGGCTCCGGAAAATGAAATCCTAAAAAATTGGATGGAGCCAATTTTTGACAGCGAAATTGCAAACTTGATTTTACGACTCGAACCAACGGACGTAAGAAGATTCAACGCGTTCCAAGATAGACTTGGCTCTCAATGGTTGAACGTCATCCCGTGCAAAAATTTCAGGTTAAAACCGTCGAACCAACAACTCAGAATTGCAATAGGACTTCGATTAGGCTCAAAAATATGCGAACGGCATAAATGCGTGCGGAAAAGACGTTACCGAGGATGATTGGCATGGTCTTTCTTGCCTCAAAAGTGCAGGGAGATTCTCAGGCATTCAAACCTGAATGCCCTTATACAGCAGAGTTTATCTTCTACTAACACTCAGTCTGTTTTAGAACCACGACACCTCTACAGGACCGACCAGAAGCGACCAGACGGTTTGACGCTCGTTCCATGGGCTGTTGGTAAGCAGCTCTTGTGGGATGTAACGGTAGTAGACTCCTTAGCTCCTTAAAGAATTAATGCCGGGTCTGTTTGTAACCGTGGTACGGCTGCCGCTGAAGCGGAAGAGCGAAAAATTGACAAGTATAAGGATCTTGTAAATGATGGATATCTTTTTCAACCGCTAGCTTTTGAAATTCAGGGCAGGGCCGGCCCCAGCACAGAAATTTTTTTGAGCAAGCTTTGTAAGAACCTAAGCATATGCACTGAGGAACACAGAGCAGGCAGCCTTTTAAAACAGAGAATCTCTCCGGCAATACAGATTGCGAACGCCGCTTGCGTACTGGGAACAATAAATGACAAAATAATTTTTGACGAATATTTTTATTTGTAACACTTGTATATTATATTTTCTCGTGTCGAGTTGCGTGTTCTTATTGAAGAAACGTAACCCGTATCGATTTTAATTAAAAAGGTTTTAAACACTTGTCATCTTCTTTTATCATTATCACTTCCATATCTAGAAATTCCAAGGATTTTGACTGGAATACGTGATGAAGGGACTCCTGACTGTAACCTCGGTTACCATGATACTTTTGACCTTCTGATTACCTTTAAAAAAAAAGAAAAAAAATT